AAGCAGCGAAGTGCCTGGGAAGAGAATCAGAAATATCTGTTGGACAGCACTAAGGGTACCCTGTAACCCACCGTCCAGACGGAGCCGGTCACGAGCCAGCTGCTTTTGTTGGGTGCCTGTGCTGCTGTTCTCATCTTGCTTTTCCTGGAGTGCTCCCTGGCTCTGTTTGGAAAGCCCCCAAGGAGGGAAGCATGGCCGGTGATTCCTGCAGTCTTGTACCCACCCAGGACAGCCCTGCACACCCAGCCAATAGACATGTGGAAGTGTCTCTGGGATAGATTCTAAGAGGGTGCTGAGCAATTGCACTAACTGGGGGCAGTGTGCAGGGGGCGATGTTGTAGAGAGAGGCTGTCACACCGTTCTATGACCCAGCAAGGGGAGAATGAAGGGTAGCAGGTGAAGGAGGATGCAGTAAAAGAATTCAAGGAGCCCTGGCAAGCTTGGAAGTGGGTGTGTGTATCAAAGGCAGTGTGAGCTCAATGAATGAATAGGGGCAGGCAAATTTCAGCTTCATCCATAATTTTCTACTTTTCAGCACCTATTTATTAGAATCTAGAAGGTCATCTTTAATATAGTGATCTACCTCCTAGAGGAAGACTTGACTTTTCCCCTTAATGATAATCATTTTTATAGATGATACTTAGAAACTTTACTATTACCAGATACTTTTCTAAGTGATAATACTCATGTAAATATATATAAATTTGCTTTTCAAAACAATGCTATGTGGGAAAGATGCCATTATTATTATGGATCCTGAAGAACAGAGAGATTAAGAGTCTTGCCAAAGATCACACAGCTAGTAAGTGACAGGATTTTTTTTTAAGGTTTATTTATTTGAAAGGTAGAGTTTACATCGAGGCAAAGGCAGAGGAAGAGAGGTCTCCCATCTGCTGGTTCACACTCCAGTTGGCTGCAGCAGCTGGAGCTGCACCAATCCAAAGCCAGGAGCTTCTTCAGATCTCCCATGTGGGTGAAGGGGCCAAAGGACTTGGGACTATCTTCTACTGCTTTCGCAGGCCATAGCAGAGAGCTGGATGAGAAGTGGAGCAGCCGGGACTCAAACAGATACCCATATGGGATGCCGAACTGCAGGCGGTGGCCCCTAGATATTATGATTCTAAATACCTTGTACTATACTGCATCTCTCAGCGATCCTCAGGGGCAAGTCTTCATTGTCCATATTCAGACAATGTGCCAACTGAATAGACATCTACTACACAGAGATTTTAATTACAACTGTATTTGCTGTAGTGGACTTTGATCTGTAACAACTTCATGCTTGCTTCAATGACATCAAGTCTCCTTGGTCATTTTTCCTCCAGAAAATGTTCCCAATTTTCTTATTTATTAAAATTTTTTTGCAAGGCAGAAGAGGGGGAAGGAGAGAGAGAGAGAGATTTCCATCTCCTGTTTCACTCCTCAGTGCCTACCAACAGCTTGGGCTGGGCTTTCACCAAAACCAGAAGCCAGGAACTCCATCTGGGTCTCTCACAGGAGTAGCAAGCTCTCAAGTTACATGTGCCATCCCCGCTGCCACCCTGGTCTGCATTCGCAGGAAGCTAGAATCAGAAGTAGAGCCGGAACTCAAACCAGGCATTCCTGTGGTGGAGGTAGGTTTCCCATTTTTGGCATTTTTTTTTTTTGTTATTTGAAAGGCACAGTGACAGAGGAGAGAAAGAGATCTTCCATCTACTGGTTCCCACCCCCAAAGGGCCACAACATCCAGGGCTGGGCCAGGCCAAAGTCAGGAGCCAGAAACTATCCTGGTTTCCTGTGTGGGTGGCAGGGGCCCATGTACTTGAGCCGTCTTCTGCCTCCCCCAGGCGCATTAGCAAGGGAGCTGGGTCAGAAGCAGAGCAGCCAGCACTTGAGTTGGCTCTGTAACAGGTGATGCCAGTGTCACAAGCAGCAGCATAACCGGCCACGCCACGCCACGCCACGCCACGCCACGCCACTAGCTCCCCCAGCTGGCATCTCAGCTCTGGCACCAAATGCCTGCATCACCGGCCCATTTTTTTTTCTTATTATATAGTTTGATTTCTAGTGATTGGATCGCTGTGCTCTCGTCAAGCCTCTTTCCTGATTCTTACTTTCTTGAATTGCAAGCTTGAAGCTGGATCCTTTGTGCCTTAAAGGGCTGCACACAAGGGCCCTGCGAAGGGGGCAGTCCTCAGCACAGGGAACTTCCAGGGGTGTGGTTCCAGTGTTTGGTGCTCACGCACAGGAGTGTTTTCCCCTCCGTGCTGGGCTGCCCAGGGAGCCGCTGACAGACGCCTCTGCGGCTCTGGGGAAGAGAAGAGAAGCATTCCTGAGCGGTGACGCTGGCGGCTGACTGACAGCAGGCTGTGTACACTGATCCCCAGGCTCTGTCAAGCATTTCGCACTGAGGTGGGGCCTCGGGTGAGAGAGAGACTGTGCTTTGGAAGTTCAGAAGCCGCTGCTGTGCTGAGAAGCCAGCTGCCAGCCATGCAGGATTACCTTGGAGGTTCCTAACTTGGAAAGGACCCTAGCCTGGCCTTCCCTGCCAGGCATCCCACTGAGTTTGGCTTGTCCCTCTCATTGGGATCTGGGCCACCTTCAGTTTGCTCATTGGATTGTTTGGAAAGGAAACACGAGTTGGAATTGCCTGGAATGCAATGAGTGGTGTTTGGAGACTAGCACTTCAGAAGATACTGCCTTGCTGAAGGTAAGCGTTCTCGCCCTGGTCCTTGACTGCTATGCCAGGAGGGTTCGTTCTGCAGGTCGTAGAGCGTGTGCTCACGATGGGCCTGCGGTTGGGGTGTCTTCCTGCTGCTAGGAGATAACTGTCTCCTGTCTCTCCTGCAGCCACAAGTTAGTGGAAGCGGGAAGGGAGGGAGGACTCCTGAGCTCCCTAAGGAGGTGTCCTGTTGCCCATCTGCTGAGCCCGGGGCTGTGAGGCTGTTGTGTTACCGTCTGCCGCCGATACAGCTAGCACCTTGTCTCTAGACACTGCCAGTCTTGGGCTAGCTTTGCCTGTTGCATTTGGTTGCCATGGCAGCAGCTGAACTGGGGAAAAATGGAAACACCTGGCAAGCAGATGCAGAAACTTGACTGTTCAGTTTTCCTGCCTGGACCAGGAGACGACATGTGTGACACTCACAGGTAGGGGAAGGGGAGGTGATGGGGCCTTTAGTTCATTCCAGCACCTAGGTGCCGGCTTGGCTGTGACGCGGACGTTTCGAAGGGCATCGGCACTAGCAGTGTAGCCATGGCCAGCCAGCAACCACGGCTTCAGCTGTGCCTGTGCCGGGTGAAAATGCTGCAGTGTTGGCTTGGCCGTGTGAGGAAGGGAAGCTGCTGCGTGCAGGCTGCAGTGTGGTGTCTTCCTGTGACTTCCCCTCTTTCCTTTTGGACCTCCCCCTACTCTGGGAAGCGCTCAGAGCTCCGTGAGAAAATGCCGTTGTCCAATGAGAGAAGCGGCTGCCCTGCCGGCCAGCAGGAGCATCCAGGCTAGCGGAGGGCTCCCCGCGGTGGCATCGCTGAGACGGAGCAGGGCAGCAATGGAAGGAGCAGTAGAGATCAAGGTGTGGTTCTCCCCCTGCACAGATACAGGCACGGAACACACTGGCCAAGGGGTATCCGCAGAGCAGGGCTCCTGCCGAGTGCAGGGCTCTGGTTGGGGTGGGGGAGGCACAAGTCTTACTAGGTTTTCTTCTGCCAGGTGAGGGGGTGGAGCCTGTGTGTAAGACAGGCGTTGAGGGGGAGGGAGAGGAACGCGGAAAGCCACAGTTGAGTAATGAGGCCCCAGTTGCTGAATGGAAACCAGTGTCAGACAGCCACCCCCAGGGTGTTGGGAGTTTACTGCTCGCGTTGGCGGTCTGTGTGTGGCTCTGCGAAATCGGGCTGTGGAGGTGTCTGCCTGTTGGGGACAAGAGCTTCCTTTTATTTTCTGACTTTCATTGTGCATGGCTCTGCCCAAACCCTTGGTCAGTGGCTGCAAGCTCCTGGAAGAGCCACCGGTGTTGGTGAGTGAGCCTCTCCCTTCTCCCGCTGGTGGTAGCTGAGCTCGTGTGCACTCTCTCGAATCCTCGAGGACAGAGCGTGAATCTGGGGCCCATTTTCCCTGAAGCTAATGGGATATGGGTGTTGCTAAATGAGGCCTCCTCAATACGAGAGTCCTGTTACTCCACAGCTTTCTAACGCTCTCGCCTTGCTGCTGTGCTGGGGTGGGAGTGGGGGATGGAGCGTGACCCTCAGTCATGGGGCACTGCGCTTTGAAAGGTCCCCGGTGAAGCCTTGGGAGCAGTGTTGATAGGACGTGATGGTTGGTTAGAAGTTAATTATTTGGCACTGGAAGCTTTCTGGAGAGTAGTGCCTTGGATGTAAAGTGCAGCTGGGATTTAAATGTTGGGGGTCTCTGCTGGTAATAGACACAGAAGTGATTTTCACATCATGCAACACTTCATGGGTTTCCAAATGTCTTTTCAGACTACCTAACTTGGGAGGTGAAACGCAGTTCTCAACCCATTTTGCAAAAATGGTTACTGAGCCCAGAGAATTGATGGGTCTTGTGGGGGCGTGACTGACAGCCAGTTATTGTCACCCCTGGCCGTTCCTCCAACCCAGGATGCCCTGGGCTTGGGGGTTGGTCTTGGGGCTGAGAAGAGCAAATCCTTCCTGTCTCAGACCTGGGGACTTGCAGGGGAGCATCTCTCGGTGGCAGAGTCCAGGTTGGGGGTCCAGCTTCTGTCTTGGGCAAATCATACTTTTCTCTGTCTCTCTCTCTCAGCATCAAGTTCCTCATCTATAAAGCAGAGACAGTGAAACTGACCACAGGGCTGAAATAATGCAGACACAGTGCATGGCCCGGTGTGGAGGTTCCACAGGTACAGCTCAGTCCCTCTGCTTGCTTAACCTTGTGTAGCTGTCCCTGAGTGTTGGTGACACTTGGCTTAGCGACCTACTTATTGTGACATACGGCATAGAGAATGGTCTGGGTGTATTCCGACTTCAGTCTGTTCAAGTCCTCACTGTGGGTTGAGAAAAGGCAGAGAATCCGATGAACCAAACTCAGATAAACAGGAAAAATGGCTTCCGTATTTATAACCTCCCTTTCTTTACTGCCTCTGACAGGGTAATAAGCTTTGGGTTCTGGATATGCAGGAAGCAAACACAGCTCCTTCTATAGCTGGGGAAATTGAAGGACAGAGAAAGTGGTTTACTGCCGGGGCTCACCTGACACCTCCCTGCTAAAGTTCAGGGTTGAATCCAGTCCTCTTCTGCCTGCCTTCTGCAGCCGGATTGCCTCTAGTCCTGATCACTTCCTTTGTTTCAGCTGGGAGGCAGTTGAGTTAAAGCTCTAGCTCACTGTTTTGAACTTCAGCCCACACCCCGCCAGCAGAACAGTCGGCATTCATGTAGCCCAGGCCAAGGAAAGGGAGGTCTTTGTTCGGATCATCCCACTGGACTTGGGGAGTCCAGAGAGCACAGAAACCTGGCAGGCAGGCTTTTAAGTTAATAGACGTTGTTTAACTGCACCAAGAGTCTGCTGCTCCCCCTGTCTTGGGGACCTGTGTGACTCAACGTGTTTGACGGCTTGCTGCTGGGAACCCAGGGCCTTTCACAGCCGCTCAGGGGCAGGGGCGCTTCTCTGGGGAGGAGGATGCTTATCAGGGGAGAGCTGGCAGAAGAATACACCGTCAGTCTGAGGCGTGGAGGAGAAACCAGTGTCTGTCCTGCGGGGTTCCTGCCTAGAAGTGGCTGAAACACACATGCTGGAATGGCCGCCACCAGGTGAACCGTGTCCTATCCCTTTCACTGCAGTCTCTTTGGGAAGAGGGACACACACACATACCACAGACGCCCTGCCCCCTGCTCACACCAGTGGGGGTCAACCACTTCTAGAAATTTCTATCAGAGCCAGTTTTGTTTGTTTGTTTCTCTTTTTAGCCAAGTGAGAAAGTTGTTTTTGCAACTTTTTTCGTGTCCTCGTTTTTAGGACATCGCATGGCACTGCCGAGTGTCACCGCCGTGTTTTTCAGCTGGTTGTAATTCTGGATAGGCTGTCATTATTTCCTAAAGTCCTGCTCGTCTCGGAGGGACTGAAAGGCTGTGAGCCACAGAGGCACGTGCTGTGACGGCAGGCCTTGTTCCCTGGACGAAGGGGCAGTGGCATGTGCCTTGTTTTTCAGAGAGCCAGGTCCGAGGTGGCCAGGTGTTGAGTTGGGTGCTGTTCCAGCTGCCCATGGGGTTCCTGGTGCGGACATGCTCGCTGTCTGGGGAGACCACACAGGCCCCTTCCTGGGGCAGATTCAGGCAGTGCTTTAGTCACACCTCCTGACCAGCGTGCTCTGGGTGTGGCGGAGCAGTGCAGTGCCTGTAGAAGGGACTTGTCTGTTTCTTCCTCTTCCCCTCTCCCGCCTCCCCTCACCCATGTGCAGTGTTGGGGCCTCAGCCAGTCCTTCTCTGGCTGCAGTCTGTTCACAGCCGGCTCCCTAGGTCATCTTTCTTTCTGTGTTGTTGGCTAGCAGAGGCTCCTGAGCCAAGCGCTGGTGTGGGGAGAGGACAGAGGCTTGGAATGCAGGCGGTGAGGAGGTCCAAAGTTAGGACCCATGATTGCAACATGACAGAATGGCCAGAGTGGCCTTTTTCGTGGATTTCATGGGCTAATCGCAAATCCAGTCTTTTCTTTGTCCTATAGAGAAGGAATGAGATATCTATTGATAGAATGGGATGCAGTTTTCTTTTTTTTCTTTTTTCTTTTCTTTTTTCTTTTTTTTTTTTTTTTTTTGACAGGCAGAGTGGACAGTGAGAGACAGAGAGAAAGGTCTTCCTTTGCCGTTGGTTCACCCTCCAATGGCCGCCGCAGCCGGCGCACCGAGCTGATCCGATGGCAGGAGCCAGGTACTTATCCTGGTCTCCATGGGGTGCAGGGCCCAAGCACTTGGGCCATCCTCCACTGCACTCCCTGGCCACAGCAGAGAGCTGGCCTGGAAGAGGGGCAACCGGGACAGAATCCGGTGCCTCGACCGGGACTAGAACCCGGTGTGCCGGTGCCGCAAGGCAGAGGATTAGCCTAGTGAGCCGCGGCGCCGGCCAGGATGCAGTTTTTAAAAATGATGTGCATGATTTAAAAATAACAGAGAAAATGTTTATGATATTTTAAAATAATCAAGATTCCAAATCATGAAAATAGTATGACCCACAATTGTATATGAACAAAGAAGTGCCCCTCCCCCCAAAGAAAAGCAAAATCCCAAATAGGCATGGAAAATAGAGCAGAAGGAAACATTTCAAGTGTTCCAAATGGTTTTCCTTTGCAGAGCAGGTCTAGGGGTGACTCTTTCTCCTCTTTAACTTTTTCTTATATTTCTCATATATTCTATAATAAGCCTCCCTTAGTACCTATGTGGGAGCAAATTAAACTTGATGAAATCCAAAACAAACCTTTTTTCTTGTTGGTCTTCGTGTCCTGAATTTTAGTGTAGGGATACAGCTGCCGTAACCGGGCAACCTGAGAACTCTGCTCGTCTCCCACTCCGGGAATCTCAAGAGTCAGGCAGGACCAGATTCCAGGAAGCTGTTTTGGACATGATTCTGCCTGGAGGCAGGGGATGGACAAGGCAGCCTCTCAGAGCCCCTTCCCACCCCCAGGCTGCACACAGCCTCTGCCAGCGGGGAGCGGGCAGAGCGTGGTGACATTCTCCCTCCCTGCGAAAGCGGCAACAAAAGTCTGCCTGGGATGGAGGCCGGGGGTGGGAAATCTGGAATGAGTGCCTGAGCTGATAAGGAGCCAGCGATCCTCCTGCCTGGTGGGGCTTGCACCTCCAGCTGCGGGGCATCCCACTCAGCCCTTTCCCTGGGAGAGCTGGCGCCTGCTTCTAGGTCCCGCGGCTGGCACTGCTCTGAGAGCTCCGTGGTCACGGCTGTCTCTGCGGAGAACTTTCCTTCTCGTGCGGGATATTGCAGCTTGGCTCAGGGCGCAGGAAGGCTCCCTGGGTCCTTGTGAGCAGCAGTGGCCATTGAAGGACACAGATTCCCCCCCCTGCACCTCTCTACTTGTGAGTCTGGTGACCGATACCCAGAGTGCTTCGTCCTCAGCTGCATCCTGCCAGGATCTTCCAGCTCCATCTCCTCTGGGGCCTGGCCCCCAGCCTCCAAAGCTCCAAAGTAGGCTTTCTGCGCTCTTCGGACAAACAGCCTCAGCTTACTGCAGTGGCCAGGTCTCCAGCAGCTGGGGTCCTGTTGTCTATCAGGAAAGTAGTGAAACCCAGCCTCCGCACAGTGAAACTTCCACTTTGAGGAACGCTTGCTGATCCTGGAATTGGCAGAGTCTTGCAATTGGGCCTCGAGCTGTTCAAGGACAGGTGTTGGATTTGTGTCGAGGCATTTGTCACTGCTGCTTTGAGAGACGAGCAGATGCAGGGGCTCTGTGGCGGCAGGTGAGGATGCTGTCTGGTGTCTTCTGCGTCAGTACTGAGGTGTTCCCAGACCACTGGCCGTCATGGGGCAACGTTGGGTTGCTGGGATGCTAATGGGGAAGCCTCATTGATACCTGCAGCATGCTTCATTTCTTCTTGCTCTCCAAGCGTGGCACAAGGGGTTAAATCTCCAATGGCTCTATTTTGGGGCAACTGGAATGTTCCCAGAATAGGACTCTTTGTTGAGTAGTCTATTTCAGGAGGCAAGCCCCACTGGCGTTTATGTAAGCATTCTCTGTGTGTATCTGGGGGTGTGGACGTGTGCGCAAGTGGTTTCTTGTTACTAATTATAAACAGCTTCTTTAGGGAGCCAGGGAAATGGAGGGGTGTGTGTACGTGTAAGGGGATGGATTGCTCTTGCTTGCTGTGAAGAGTGCTGTGACCATGAATGCCCGTTCCATCATGGGGCAGTTGTCACAGACACCTGAGTGATTGAGTGTCGGGATCTTAGGACAACAAGCAAGGATGACAGCCCCTTAGTAGACTGTCTGCCCGTGGAGATGTGTCCGTCTGTCATTGTTTTGGTTCCTTGAGGCACAGGGGCTGCAGTCTGGAGTCAGGTGGTCTCCAAAAGATGGCACTGGGTTATTCTTAGGCCCAGCAACCAGTCCCAACCTGAGCCAAATCTCAGACTCCACTTCCCACCTCGTAGCTTGGCTCTTGGCATTTACCACCTCCCCCTCCCATTTCCCCTATGTCTCCTCACAGGCAAAGCCCACATATGTCAAAGCAAGAGAGAAACCAAAGACCGTCCAGCATGGTCAGCGAGACGTCCACGGCTGGGACCGCGTCCACCCTGGAGGCAAAGCCAGGACCCAAGGTGAGCTCTTGGCTGCTTGTTCCTTCTGTCCCCTCTTTTCTATTTTGCCAAGCCCCTTTGTAACCAGCAGCCCATTCAATCTCCACCATAGTTCTGGGGGAGAGCCCCATAGGAAGTAGTCTCCCCAAATAACAGATGAGGAAATTGAAGCCAAGAAGGGCTATGTCCCTTGGTGACTGATGTCTAGGTCTTTGGACATGCTCTTCACTTTCCTGGCTTGTGTCGGGGGCGGGGGGTGCCCTGTGTTCATGTGTGGCTGTATGTTAGAGCCTGGCCAGATACTGTGACACCTCAGACCAAAGAAGGGTGCCTCTGGGAGGGGCCCAGAGGCTTCTGTGCTCAAGATTTGGGATGAGTGATCAGGAAACAGAGAAACCCACCCGCGTACAGAGTCAGGGCAGGGTGCTGAAGAATGAACCCAGATAGGAGAGGACTATGGGGACTGTGTTCCAGAAAGCTATCCAGCAAGTGGTAAAAATTGATTGAAAAATGCTTTTAATATTTTTCCCCTGTGACCAGGCCAGGAGACTTGCCAAGTCTAGGGCTTGCCTTTTAATCAGAGTGCTGTGGCCATGTGCACACTATTCCCTGTTTCACCACTTGTCTTCTGATCAGAGGGTGCTTAGAACAAGGCAGAGGAGCCGATAGCCCTCCTAAAATACGACTGCTTTTTGTGCCCCCCTTGCAATCCCCACTGCTAGAGCTGAAGTCTGCTTTTTTCCTAGATCATAAAGTCCAGCAACAAAGTGCACAGCTTTGGGAAGAGGGACCAGGCCATTCGCAGAAACCTGAACGTTCCAGTGGTGGTGCGGGGCTGGCTGCACAAGCAGGTGAGAAGCTGAGGGGACTGGCCCTGCTGCTGCCTCTCCTAGCCCTGGCCCCAGAGCTGGGACCAAGCCCACAACTCTCTGCTGCTGAGTTTGTCTCAGGCAGGTAGATTCTGCCCAGCGTGCTTGGTGGTCTGCTGTTGGTATGTCTGAGTGGACTGTGTACTCAGTTTTTTACAGCTTCTATCCCCAAACCTGCCTCACCCTTTTGGCCTCTGGTGCTGTTGGTGGCCCAGGCCTCCGTGGGTGGGTCAGCATGAATCCAGCCCTACTCCTGGTCCTCTGCCAGCTCTTGCCTTCCTGATGTTAAAGAGTCTTTGTTATCCCTGGGCTGAAAAATGCTGTCCTTTCCCTGCCCTTTGTCAAGCACACACATCCAGCTCTCTAGCACCTCAAATCTCAGATCTGCCAGGCTCAGCTCATTGTGTCCCCACCCGTTTCCTCTCCCTTCCTCCACCCCGCCCCCAACCTGCTTGTTCTGACTCCGAGTAATGCAGACTCCTTGCAAGTTAGAGGCCTCAGCACCACGGCCAGCGCCTCACGCGCCCACACCCACTCAGTACCATCTCCGCCCCTTCCCGACGTGGGGCTGTCCTGAATCTCCAATCCCACCCCAGGTGGTCTGCCTGTGGGCATCTGGCCGTGAACAGGATGTGAGCCCCTCTTCTGTTTCCTGCCCTCTTTCGTTGCCATTCGTTCATCCCTTCCCCAAGTGTCTGCTGTGTTCTCGGTGCTCTCACAACAGGTTTGGACAGATGAACAACAGGTGGTTTCTGCCCTCCCTCCCTTGTCACACAGTCCTCCGGCCCAGTCTCTTCCCTGTTCTAGTACCCCCCACCCCCCACCCCACCAACACACACACCAAAGCGGGGGAACAAAAGAAGAAAAACCAAGAGCAATGATGTCGGCTCTGTAAGGTCTTTTGGGGAAGACAGAGGATGTTAACATCGTACGTCACGTGGGTATCCACAGCCCCTTCTCCCTGTGGCAGCTCCCACGGCTCGATCTGCTGTCAGGAGATACCTTCTCTTGCCCCACTGTCTGCCCCCACTTGTCCGCTCTGTCTGCCCTCCCCTTTATCTGCCCATCTCTTCTCTTAAGTAATTAAACTCAGTGACTTCTTCCATGTGCATCTCTGGCCCATGAAACAAAAGTGGCTTTGAAAGGTGGAGGGAGAGGGAAGGGACTGCAAGAACCCTTGCCCTGCTGGCCCGGGCCCCTCGGCCCTGCTGTGACAGGGGCCTGTGCAGACGGGATGCTGCAGGGACACACACTCACAGTGTGGCTCAGAAAGGCTTCCCACGGGAGTGATGTTTGCACCAGGTATGGAAGGGCGGATAAGAGTTCTCTAAACAAGTAAATGCCACATGCCACGACCTTGGACATCATCTGGTCAGTTTGTAGGCAATAAGACTGGTTAAGTGGATGAAGTCATTTTAATGAAGTAGAGGATGGATAAACCTTATGTGTCTTAGTTTAGAAATTGTCCAATTTTTAAAAAACAAACCTGTCAAAAACTTCTGTAGCAGGAAAACAATTTTTTTTTATGTTTTTAAAGATTTATTTTATTTGAAAGGCAGAGTTACAGAGAAGCAGAGGCGGGGGGGGGGGGTCTTCCCTTCACTGGTTCGCTCCCCAGATGGTTGTAATGGCAAGATCTGGGCCGATCCAAAGTCAGGAGCTTCCTCTGGGTCTCCCACATCGGTGCAGGGGCCTAAGGACTTGGGCCATCTTCCACTGCTTTTCCAGGCCATAGCAGAGAGCTGGATCAGAAGTTGAATGGCCAGGACGCGAACTGGTACCCATATGGGATGCCGGCACTGCAGGTGGTGTCTTTACTCACTATGCTACAGTGCTGGCCCAAGAAAAACAGATTTTAACAGCCATCTCTGAAGCTCAAAGCAGCTCAGGGGTTTCCCTAGGACTGGAAGAACAGTGACCTTACATTATGGTCATCTGTCCACTCGTTCACTCTGCAAATGCCCACAACAGCTGTGGCTGTACCATGCAGAAGTCAGGAGCCGAGAACTCCTGTGGGTGGCAGGGACCCAGGCACCTGAGCCATCACTGCTTCCTCCACGGATGTGCATTAGCAGGAAGCTGGGTGGAAAATGGAGACAGAACTCAATCCCAGGCACTCCAATATGGAATGTGGGCCTCCCAAGCGATGGCTTGACCTGCTGCTCCACCATGCCTGCCCCTAAAATATTCTAAAGAAACAAAGATTTGCTGTTCAGGTGAATAAAGAAAGATTGTTGCTATGAGACAATTTGAGAGCAGAGGATCTCTTCACAGTGATTTGCAGGAAAACACAACAGCAAAATTGGACCCTGATGGTAGAGAACTAGGCTTAGTCAAATGAGAACTTTGTCTCGGTTAATTAATTGTCAGTTTAGACTGTACTCAGTACCATGTAAGCTCAGTGTTCTAATCTGCATCAGTGAATATACAGTATAGCACAACACCTTAAAAAACAATTCTAAGCTCCTGGCTTCAACCTGGCCCAGCTCTGGCTGTTGCAGCCATTTGGGGAGTGAACCAGCAGATGGTAGATCTCTCTGGGTCTCTCTCTCTCTGTAACTGTGACTTTCAAATAAGTCAATAAATATTTTTTGCAAAAATTTTCCTTTTTGATAAGAGCTGATTCCTTTCTTAATGGGAGATCTGTGTGTTTGAATTCGCATTTTTCTTTCTGCAAGAGGGTGGGTTATAATATATTAATTTATTTCCAGGAGACAAAAATAACGTTTCTGTGATAAACCATCATTGAATAGATATCAGTAAAGCATTCACTAATGTTTGGAGAGGAAGAGCAAATGGATATGGGCAAGTCTTGGTTCCAGGATCAAGTTCTGTGTGACTGGGGAAGAGGAACAGTGTGCTTAGACATTGCCCTGACTGCTTTGCTTTGCTTTGCTTTGCAGGACAGTTCTGGGATGAGGCTGTGGAAAAGGAGGTGGTTTGTGCTTGCTGATTACTGCTTATTTTACTATAAAGGTGAGATGAGTCTGTGGCCACCAAGGGCTCCTTATGCTAGAGGCAGTGGTGGGAGGACACAGGGATGGCTTTCTCAGATCCAGTCACTGGGCCAGTAGCCTGAGTTAGGTAGTAGCCTATTACCCTGCCAGTTTACCTTAATATATGTGGATGGTTGATGACTTCCGTGTTATGGGGTCCCAGAATAGAAACTTTACTATGTTGAGTTAAATAGAATCCAGTTCACTTACTACTCATAGCCCAGTCATCCCAGCTTTTGCTGCACTTGGGTTGTAGGCACACCTTTGAGGCAATCTGGAGAGGAAGTATGGACAAATCCTTGCAGCCTGTAACTGCCTTCTGGTTGTCTCCCCATGTGGCTCTGGAAGGGCAGCTGGTGAATTGAGTCAGCTGAGATTTTATGGAGCCCAGCAGTAAAGCTGGGGGCTTGCACTATTGAGAAAGTCTCAAAGTATGGAAAAAAGAGAGACAACTTGCTCTTAAGACTAGATGATGGCCAGGGATTTAAAACACATTAGAATGCTGAGAGGAATGTGAACTCCACACTAGAAAAACTAGTGAGGCTTCTTAGAAGAGGGAGGGTTTGCCTTGGGCTTTTAAGGACAAATTAAGCTTTGCCTGTGTGGAAAGTTGAGGAAACTTGAGTAAAGTTCCAGAGGCAGAAGATGGACTGGCTCACCTGGCTACCAGGATGTACCAGGAGATAAGGCTCAGCAGGTGAGAGAGGGCCAAAATGAAAAGGCTGTCCCAGATAGGCGGAAGTAGAGGTGCCTTCTATGTCCAGTGGGGAAACCAGCAAGTGCCTTTGAGTAGGAGAGCCACGGGACCAACGCTGTCGTTAGGAAGTGCCTGCTGTCAGCAGCATGGTTTCTAGGAGGACAGAAGTAGAAGGTGGGAGTTTTACCCATGCTTATTACTTTAACCATGAGATTTGCTTCTCCCAGAATGCCTTTCTACATCCCACCACTTCCTGAACCTCTTCAAACAATGTATTTATTGATGTATTTATTTTACTTGTGAATCAGAGAGACAGAGAGATGGTCTGACAGATCAGATGGTCAGGCTGAAGCCAAGAGTCAGGAACTCAATCTAGGTCTCTCATGCCGGTGGTGGGGACCTACCCACTTGAGCTATCACCTGCAGCTTCCTATAGTACACACCAGCAGAAACCTAAAGTCAGAACAAGAACTCAAACCCATGCACTTCCAGAATGTATGTGAGCGTCCCAACTGGCATCTTAACCCCTGTACCAAATGCCCACCTCTTCTGAAGCCTTCTTCACCCCTGTGTGCCCCTCTTGCCTCTGTGTGCCCATGGCACCTGCTGTCCTTCCAGTGTTGGGCAGGCTGAGTTGAATGTTTGACATACCTGGGGATGTGCTCAGAGAGAGGGCCCTGCCTGGCTCACCTCCTTAGTTCCAGCACAGAGCTGCTCGGAGAGCACCCAGCGATCGGTTAAGAGGAGACTGCTGTGGTTCTCGGTAGACAGACGGAACCAAATGATTGTTCTCATGTGCTTTTCCACCCAAAGATAGCCGAGAAGAAGCAATCCTGGGGAGCATCCCTCTGCCCAGCTACGTGATCTCACCCGTGGCCCCTGAGGATCGCATCAGTCGCAAGTACTCCTTTAAGGTACCACCCCTCCTCTGAAGCTCCACTTCTGTCTTCAGAAGCTTTGTGTCCTCAAAAATGCCTTCAGAAAAGCCGTTGCTTTGGGGCGGAGGTGTGGGAGAGGGGGAGTTAGGGAGCTAGAGAGTTTCAGACTCGGGTTAATAAAGTTAAAATTATTTAAACAAGAGTAATGACACATTGCCAGTACCTTCTTTTGAATCTGAGCTTTGGAGTCCCCCAGCCTTGTTCCAGTATTGAGATCCCTCTTTCCTATTGCTGCAGGTCATGTGGTCATGTACCTAATGTGAGTATGGCCTTTCTCCTGCTTGCTGATCACCCTTGTCCGCTGATCTAACTACTACCCAGCCATCTGGCGCAATCAAGGACCCCTCAGGGTGGATTTATCTCAATTGTGTTCTGAAAACTCACACTGAGGGTTAGGGGCTGTCACGTTTATCTCTGCTGTTTAACCCTGTTGAAAAGCATTTAGACTGAGACTTTGGTTTATTTTCTGGATCACTGAAGATTCCCAGGCAGATACCTTCCCTGGAAAAACCCCTTTTCTACTCCCTTGGTGCCATCCCATTTGGGGTCTTTGGGGCCATGCTAACTACTGATGCCTGGGAGGCCGGATGGGGAGACTCTGGGAAGGTGGTCATTAGGCCCAACTTGGGTAGTCCTGAGTCTTCTCCATCGTTTACCCCCGCGGATTCTTTCCTTCCAGGTGTTTCCTGGGTCCTCCAGAGGTGGTGAGGGTGGTCGGGCTTGGTGGATTGCAGGTGTACTTCACTGGCGGTTGGAGTGGAAGTCCCAAAGAGCCCTGCAACACGTGGCTTTTGGTGCCAGTAGCCAAGGGCATAGCCTCTTGTGGCTGCTCAGGCTACACGGCAGTGCTGTGTCCTTCCAGCTGGGGTACAGGGCCTCTACCTGCACTACCCCTGCTGCTTGTCTATTCCCATGTTGGGGTACAGGATGGGTACTAGACAGTAGGTAACTAAAGCAGAGGGTGAACTTTGGAAACACACAGCATAAGCCACCCTCTGTTCTTGGGCAGGGTTGTAGGAAAGGGGTATGCCATGTCGGTGGTGTTTGCAGTTGGTCCTCAGTCTATGAGAACTTTGGAAAGCAACAGCCCAGGTCAGCCCCTTGACCTGGAGTCCGTGGAGGTGTGGGGGTGGGGGTGTGCAGTCAGTCAGTCTCGTTGTCCTCCCGCCTGAGCCTCCTGTGGGAGCATGGGACTGAGCTGATGCTCCAGCTCTGTTCAGCAGCCAGCTTGAGCTGTCCCTGCCTGGCCCTCAGCGCTCCTCCGCGTCTCTGCACAGGTGCCATGGGAAGTAAGTTGATACTTGGTACCTCACTGAATGGACACGGCTAGCCTGTGAGGTCAGCATTGCTAGTGTCGCTTCATAGACTTCATAAGCAGCTTGAGAGCTTAAGAAACTTGCCCAAAGTCACTAAGCTGGAAGGTAACAGAGATGGATCTGGGGCCTGAATTCCGTCTTCTTCCAGTTGTATCTCGGGGAGAGGGGGAGGTTTCTTTCTGTTCCTCTGCCTTTTCTTCCATGTCTTGTCTTGGTCACCTTGTGCACATGCTGCAGCAGCTGGGAGGCGGTTTGCCTTAACATCCATTGTAGCATTTTGGGGACACCCTTCTACTACACAGCTCAGAAATCTCCCTGAAGACCATGTGTTCAGTGACTTTCAGACTGGCCTCTCGTAGCCTGCAAGTCTTCCTCGGAAAGCCCTCCTTCCTGGGGTGGAACATTCCCGCCAGGCAGGGCATCTAGTTTACCATGTTGTCTGTGAGTTTGGGGGGGTGGGGTGGGCCCCAGCGTTTGTAATATTCACAAAGTGACTTGTCGTAACTATATATATTTCATCTTGACACTTCACTGAGAGGTGTGAAAATAGATTCTAGGAAAACATCTTTTATGTGTCTTAGATTTTTTTCTTTTCTTTTTTTAGCATTCCTTAGAAAGGCTTCACCAAGAAAGTTCCCTAAATCTCTGGGCCAGGAGACAGATGGTGTCATGTGTTTGGAGGGTCTTCGGGGGGTCCTGGGGGCCAGAGCAGAGGGAAGCTACTGCTGACAGATGTGGTGTGCGGCTGAGCTGGTTCTGCAGAAAGAGTGGCGGGTCACTGAGTCTGAAAGTCATCTTTCCCTTTGGGTTGCAGCATTGTTGTCGTAGGGACCAGCAGATGGGCCCTGGAGCAGTGCAGCTCCATGTCTTTAGGCATTCCGAGGAGGATGGGGTTTTGTGTCCTGGGCCTTATGCCTGCCTCTGGGGTTGGTTCTTTTCTGGATCCAGAGCTGAAGCTCTCCCCAGGTTATTAGGGCGCCTTGCCTGCAGGTGCTCAGAGTACCCGTGGTGTCAGTGAACGTGGCCTGAAGGTCCATTCTTGTCGTTCTTTTTCTACTGCTGTTACCTGGGAGGCTGGCGTTAGGTGGATCTTGAAGCTCATTCAGGACCACGGGAGGGGCCCAGCAGGGCTTGAGGGAGCCACTGGGGGTTGTTCCGCCCTGACCAGCAGGTTCTCTGTGCTCTGCAGGCTTGCCTGGCAGGAAGGGAGCTCAGGATGTTTCGTGCCCGTAGGTCTTTGCTTGAGCTTCAGCCACAGCCTTGGAAGCCTTTTCCCTGGTGCGTGCTTCAGAGCACTGCATGGGTCCTTTCCTCTACTGAGCCTTCCCTGAGCCCTCTGCGCAGTTCTGGATCTTTCTTATGTACTTCCATAGCTTTGAGTCACTGAACCGCAAGTGGGGGATTTACCCACCCAGAGGTCGAGCCAGAAAAGCTGGCCCATCGGCTGGTTGGTGGGTTCACTCTGCAGCCATCTGTAAAGTGACAGCGCTTACACCTTCCGAGGTCCAGCAGGTTTGGCCTTATTCGAATTCTGTGCTGAGTCACCTGCAGATTAGTGATGGGGAGTGACCTGCAAGCTCGTTCTGCCAGCCTCCTGGTTCAAGTGACAGCTCCTGTCAAATCTTGGCGAGTGTCTTTGAGTCTTAAGTGCCCAGCTGTGCTCTACATACTGCACACGTCACTCACGTGCTCCTCACCCTGCCCTCTGGGCAGCTGCTACAGTTACAAACCCACTTTGAAGAGAAGAAAATAGGGGCCAGTGCCATGGCATAGCAGGTAAAGCCGTGGCCTACAGTGCAGCATCCCATATGGATGCCGGTTCAAATTCTGGCTGCTCCACTTCTCATCTAGCTGCCTGCTATGGCCTGGGAAAGCAGTACAGGATGGCCCAGGTCCTTGGGCCCCTGCACCCACATGGAAGACCCGGAAGAAGCTCCTGGCTCCTGGCTTCGGATTATCGCAGTTCTGGCCATTGCTGCCAATTGGGAAGTGAACCAGCGTATGGAGGACCTCTCTCTGCCTCTGCTTCTGCCTCTCTGTAACTCTGCCTTTCAAATAGTTATTAAAAAAAAAAAAAAAGAGGAAATAGAGGCATGGGGAGGCCCAGCAGTTTGTTTAGTGGGTGAGAGGCAGAGCCCACCTGGGACCTCACTAACCCTGAGAACTGAGTGCTTTCACTCCTGCTGCTTGCGGTCGGCCCAGAAGCTGGATGTGAGTGATTTCTTTCTTTTTTTCTTTTCTTTCTTTTTTTCTTTTTTTTTGACAGGCAGAGTAGACAGAGAGAAAGGTCTTCCTTTTCCGTTGGTTCACCCTCCAGTGGCTGCTGCGGCTGGCACGCTGCGGCCGGCGCATTGCGCTGATCTGAAGCCAGGAGCCAGGTACTTATCCTGGTCTCCCATGTGGGTACAGGGCCCAAACACTTGGGCCATCCTCTGCTGCCTTCCCGGGCCACAGCAGAGAGCTGGACTGGAAGAGGGGCAACCGGGACAGAATCCAGTGCCCCGACAGGGACTAGAACCCGCAAGACAGAGGATTAGCCTAGTGAGCCGTGGCGCCGGCGTGTTTTCTTTTCTTAACATCAACAAAATGACACCACTGTCTTTGTGAGACACACCTGAGAATGTTTGTTTTAAAAAGATTTATTTGTACTCGTTTAAAAGGCAGAGTGACCGAAAGAGATCTTCGCTCCTCTGGTTCACTCTCCAAATGGCTGCAATGGCTGGGGCTGGACCAGGCTGAAGCCAGGAACCTGGAACTCTACCAGTATCTTCCCAAATGGGTGGCAGGGCTCAAGGACCTGGGCTGTCGCTCGATGCTTTCCCAGACACATTGGCAGGGAGACGGACAGGAAGTAGAGCAGCCGGGACTCAAGCTGGCCCTCCCCCGTGGGATGCTGGCGTTGCAGGCCGCAGCTTAATCTGTTGCGCCACAATGTCAGCCCAAACCTGAGAATCTCGACCTTGGCACCTGCCGTGCCCTCACCTCCTGAGTGCAGGGCCTGCGGACCTCATGCACTCGTTCTCTGCACGCTCAGTCTGCACCTGCACCATCATCTCTTACCTGTGTGTGCCTGCAGTAGCCTCCCAACCCTCCTGCCCCCGCCAGCTGCTCCTGCCATATTACACCCAGACAAAATCTGATCCCATTACTCCCCAGTCAAACCATTTCACGGCTTTTCACTGCTTTTTAAAATGAAGACAAAACCCTAACAAGACCTGCAAGGCCCTGGTGGTCAGTCCCCGCCCACTTCATGCTGCTCCTCCCTCCCCTTCTCTGTGCCAGACATGCTGGCTTTTTCCTTGAAATACACTGCGCACTTGTCCTTCTTGAGGTCCCAGCTGCCTCCTCACCACTCCTGCTTAAGGAATGGTGTATGTGTGGATGGCAGCTGAGTCCCTCTGCCGGTCAGGCCCTGTGCCCGTTATCCCCTCCCACAGCAGCCTGCCTTTCCCGCTAACACTTGTTACAGTTGTAGTGACCTGTCCATGGCCTTTCTCTTCTACTTGGCTATCAACAGCCATACCTTTGTTTAAAGTCTCTCCACCAACTAGTGCAATGCCTGTCACGTAGTAAACGATCAATAACTGATACAACATTGTAGAATGAATAGATTCAGAACGATTCAGTCATGCAATGGGCCCTGCATTTCCCACATCAATTTCTCTGTTTTAGAGGCTGTTGGAGGCCTGGGGATTCTGCCTTCTCAAGAGCTGAGGTCTCAGAACCAGCAGAGCAGTCACGTCCTAGGGTGTTGTGTTCTTCAGATAAGCTCTTCCTGGTTCCCAGTCTCATTTTCTTTAGGCATAGCCTGGCTTCTGTTCAGTTGTGCAGAGTTGCCCAGGGGAATTGTGTTAACTCGAAAGCCAAGTCCTGGGAGGAAGGGGCCAACTCTGAACGAGGCTGTGGCTCCAGCATCCCCTCGGGCTCGGGGTCTTTGGACTGGGATGGTGTGGCCGGATGAAAAGGGCACTCCCGGGACTCCTTGCCTTTCCACTTGATGTGTCTGCTGTGGCCGAGCACAGGCAGAATGCAGTTGGGATCCTGAGCTTCAGAGCCCAGAGCGGGTGGGTACACAGCATCTGCTGGCAGTCTGATGTGCGATCCAGGTTCTCTTTGTCACCATGGGTTACTTCCTGTAACAGTGGATGTAGCTCCTAAGCCCATTTGCAGGAAGACATGCAAACCTGGGCCTGCAGTTTGAGGTGTATCCTATGTTGATTCCTGGACAAGGCAGGCTCTGTGAGTTCTTACAGAAGGACTGTCTCTCTTTGTTATAAATGAGAGGGCTCCCTGTACTTGTGTCTGATGGATTAATGCCTGTTCCGGAACCCTCTGTGGCTGGGCAGAAAAGACTAGGAGGGCATGTCAGAAATCTTATGGGAATCATTGTCTAAGGGAATGTTTCCAAGAATTCCTAAGGATGGCCAGCGCCGCGGCTCACTAGGCTAATCCTCTACCTGCGGCGCCGGCACCCCGGGTTCTAGTCCCGGTTTGGGCGCCAGATTCTGTCCTGGTTGCCCTTCTTCCTGTCCAGCTCTCTGCTGTGGCCTGGGAAGGCAGTATAGGATGGCCCAAGTGCTTGGGTGCCTGCACCCACATGGGAGACCAGGAGGAAGCATGTGGCTCCTGGCTTCGGATCGGCACAGCGTGCCAGCTGCAACACGCCAGCCATAGTGGCCACTTGGTGGGGGTGAACCAATGGAAAAAGGAAGACCTTTCTCTCTTTCTCTCTCTCTCTCTCACTCACTCAATGTCTAACTCTGCCTGTCAAAAAAAAAAATAATTCCTAAGGATGCACAGTAAGGGTGTACACGTCTAAGTCCCTTCTCATTCTTTCTCGTTGCCATCTGATTAAACTAGGAGGAAGCCACCCTGGGGCAGTGACTGGCACCTCATACCTACAAAGGAGGATATCACATTTGCTTTGGTCTCTATAGAGACTCCAGGTTACAGGCCATTTTGCCTAGCCTCCCTTGGCACTGGGCTGGATGGACTTATATATATAAATGTCAGAAGCAGGCTGTATTTAATATGCATTTGGACCTGGGTGTTGGGAGTATGGGGAGGAGAAATAAATGCTGAAGCGTCACCTGAGAGCTTTTCATCCATCTGTTAGAAAAGCTTGTCATTTTCCAGCTTTTCATTGTTTCTCATTTTGTTTTCTCTGACTGGTCCTTCCATGGGGCCTGCATTTCATTCTGGATCTAGATTATGGGATCAGTGTTCTAAGTAATAACTCTCATTTCTGGGTAGGAACTGGGAACATTAGCAAAGTCTGGACTTGGACTCAGACCTGGGCTCCAATTCTTCAGTCATTTGAGAAATATTTATTGAACACCTACTGGGTTATACTTGTGAACAAAATAGACCAAGTTCCTGCTGTTATGCATTTTACGAGCTAGAGAGAGGGCATAGATGATAAACAGCTAGAGAACAAGTGTATAAAAAGCATCAAGTCAATGGTAAGTGGATGTAGAAATCTGGGACAGTTCCTTAACCTCTCAGAGCTGTTTGTCACCTCTGTAGAACCGATTCTATTACAACTTCTCAAGGCTGTAGAGATTAAAATGAGATTAAAGTCCTGGAAGCACATGGTGGGCATTCAGTCCATCTTCCTCTTTCTACATCAGCTTCCTATGTAGATTTGGTGAGACATTTCTCTTGCAAGTTTAAGACGGGCCTCTGCTCATCAGAGCACAAGGAGAAAACCTAGCATTGCCTCCAGTTTGCAGACCATCCAGTTCCTTCTCAGTGGTCATGCCCGATACCTCGTCCCAGCTTCTTAGCAGGGTTACATGTGAAAGCACCTTGAAGCAGAAGCCCACATGAGGTGCACAACAATTCTTAGTCAAATGTCAATCAGCTCCAGCTACCTGTGGTGCCCCCTGTTGAGAGACCACATCCGTTGCTTTGATGGACACACATCACACGTTGTACCAGAGCAGTGACCCAAGGGGAGCATCTGCACCAAGCTGCCTGCTGTTGCGACTGGTTTTTATTCAGTTCTTTTGTTTTTTCTTTCTTTTTTTTAAAGATGTATTTATATATTTGAAAGAGTTGCAGAGAGAGGGAAAGACAGAGAATCTTCCATTTGCTGGTTCACTCCTGACATGACTGCAATGGCTAGGGTTGGGCCAGTCTGAAGTGAGGTGCTTCATCCGCGTCTCCCACATGTGTGGCAAGAGCCCAAGCACTTGGGTCATCTTCCACTACTTTCCCAGGTCATTCTCAGGAAGCTGGATCGGAAGTGGAACAGCCAAGACTCGAACTGGTCACCCATATGGGGTTCTGGCACTGCAGACAGGGGCTTAACCTATACGACAACACCAGCTGACTCAGTTCCTTTTATTCTTTTAATTTTATTTTATTTGAAAGGGAAAGAGAGAAAGCTCTTCCCTATTCACTGGTTCGTTCCCCAAATGCCCACAACAGCTGAGTCTGGGCCAGGCTAAATTTGGAGCCTGGATATCTTAGACTGGCTGCCTCCAGAAGTGTGCATTACCAGGAAGCTAGAGTCAAAAGGGGAGCCAGGACTTGAACTTGAACCTACTACTTGATGTAGAATACAGGCATCTTAACCACTGCGCCCCACCCTTGATTCTGTTCATGTCTGATTGTAGCTAAAGCTGGAGTTGCAGGTCTCAGAAAAACCAAACCAGGGATTCCCAAGAGTGCGTCTAGAGAAGGAGAGTGTGTTTTGTTTGTTTTGTTTTTGTTTTGACAGGCAGAGTGGACAGTGAGAGAGAGAGAGAGAAAGGTCTTCCTTTTTGCCGTTGGTTCACCCTCCAATGGCCGCCGCGGCCGGCGCGCTGCGGCCGGCGCACCACGCTGATCTGATGGCAGGAGCCAGGTGCTTTTCCTGGTCTCCCATGGGGTGCAGGGCCCAAGCACCTGGGCCATCCTCCACTGCACTCCCGGGCCACAGCAGAGAGCTGGCCTGGAAGAGGGGCAACTGGGACAGAATCTGGCGCCCCGACCGGGGCTAGAACCTGATGTGCCGGCGCCGCAAGGCGGAGGATTAGCCTAGTGAGCCTCAGCGCCGGCATGTTTGTTTGTTTTTAAAGTCCTTTATGTAAGCCTTGGCTCTGGGCCCCTCCCCAAGCATGAGAAGGTAAATAGGAAATGGGTACAGCTGCTGGGCCTTCCCATCAAGGAGCAGGAAGAGGCATCTGGCCTGTGACGTTTCCCAGGTGTGGGGACAAGCTGGGTGGTGCTGGAGCTTTTGAGGCTATAAGCCGGGAGAAGATGGCCAGAGCACCTCCGTGTTTTGGCTCTGAGCAGGGCAACTTGCGCTAACCCCGGTATCTGTGTTGTGTCCGCAGGCCGTGCACACGGGGATGCGAGCTCTCATCTACAACAGCTCCGCGGGGGGCTCGCAGGCTGAGCAGTCGGGCATGAGGACCTACTACTTCAGTGCCGACACCCAGGAGGACATGAACGCCTGGGTCAGGGCCATGAACCAGGCTGCACAGGTGCTGTCCCGATCATCACTGAAGAGGTCAGTCCCGATAGAGGGGCCTCCCACACTCGGAGGGGAGCCCAGAAAAATCCTCTGGTACCTGAAATTCCACCCATAGCTCATTTATGCCTTTCTTTGAAACTTTTTTTTTTTTAAATAAGGATGTTCACTTAAAAAAAAAAGATTATTTATTTGAAAGGCAGAGTGACAGAGAGAGCGATCTTCTATCTGCTGGTTCACTCCTCACATGGCCACAATAGCCAGGTCTGGAATGGGAGCCTGGAACTCTATCCATATCTCCCACGTGGGTGGCAATGGCCCAAGTATGTGGGTGGCCATCCATTGCCTTCTTGTGTGCATTAGCAGGGAGCTAGATCAGAAGCAGAGCAGCCAGGACTTGAACCAGCACTCCAGTATAGGATCCTGGCATCTCAGCTGGTGGCTTAGCCTGCTGTGTTGCAATGCCAGTCCCTTGAAATCCTTTTTAACAATGAGTGGAACGTTCATACACAGCTAACATGTGTTGCCTGTCAGAGCTGGAAGGACCTTGAGAAGTTATCTGGTTCTCTTTCTTCCTTGAACAGAGAGGAACACTAGGCCTGCAGGGTGGAGCGTGTGCCTGGGACACAGTCATGGAGACCTGCATACCTGCACTTCTCGGTTTCCTTTCTCTTGGGTGGAAGGGACAGCAACCTGGGGCACCAGTTGGAGAGGGGGAGAGAGCAGGTCAGACAGGTCTCGTCAGCTAAGAATGGGCCACAGATGGGCCACCTGCTCCTGGGAGCTGACCTAGGAGGGATCTTCACTGAGTGGATGCTCCAAGGTTGCCATCAGCAATCTCAAACGTCCCGAGTCTGTCGGCTGTAGAGGACTCCCCAAGAGGAAGCAGAGGAAGAGCGTGAGTGGTGCTGGGAGCTTGGGGAGAGAGCAGGGTTGCCCTGGAGAAGTCAGGGTGCGATTGAACTGGCCATCTTCTAATGGGGGCCCTGTTCTTATCCTGACACCCAGCTGTGCCTAGAGGCCCCCTTGCCATGGTTCCTCAGTGAGCCTCAAGCCTAAAGGGTCTTCTCCAGCAACCCAAGGGTGGGATTTTTCCATGACTGGGCCTTACCAGTCTCTTCCAGCTCCTGTGTGCAATTTCTATATCATGGTACTTCTTAGCTCCCTGCTCTTCTCTCCAGGTGAGCGGGCCATAGGTCCAGGTAGTAACTTCCTTGAAGAGGTCAGAGTGGGGGCAGGCCCCTCCTCCCCCCAAGCTTCCCTGACACCTCAATCTGGGCATTTGTTACAGTGGGTTTTCCCCTTTTGTGTCTGTTAGAGTACTCTGGGCTTCATGCAGGAACCCTTTTTGGTCTTCTGCACAGCATCTGAAACATAAACTACCAATGTCTGTGAGTGTGTAAGTGAGGGAGAAATTCAGAGAATTAATGAATGGACGTGTTGAACAGGACACTCAAGGACTGACGCCTGGGCCCTAAATCAATAACCCCTAACTATGTACCATCAGTCGATTTTTACTCTACCTCCTAGCATCGTCATCCAGCCTGGATGTGCCTGTTCCCATGATGACAGTATGTTCACCCTCCAAATGCCTACAACTGCTGGGACTAGGCCAGGCCGATGCCAGGAGCCTGGAACTCAGTCTGGGTCTCTCGTGTGGGTGGCAGGGACCCCACTACTTGGGCCATTACTTGCTGCCTCCCAGGGTACACATTAGCAGGAAGCTGGAATCAAAGGCAGAGCAGGGACTTGAACCCTGGCACTCCTGTATGAAGTGTCTCAGTTGGCATCTTAATGGCTGCACCAAATGCCCACTCTACTTCAGCACTTTTTTTTTTTTGACAGGCAGAGTGGACAGTGAGAGAGAGAGAGACAGAGAGAAAGGTCTTCCTTTTGCCATTGGTTCACCCTCCAATGGCTGCCGCGGCTGGCGCGCTGCGGCCGGCGCACCACGCTGATCCGAAGGCAGGAGCCAGGTACTTATCCTGGTCTTCCATGGGGTGCAGGGCCCAAGCACTTGGGCCATCCTCCACTGCACTCCCGGGCCACAGCAGAGAGCTGGCCTGGAAGAGGGGCAACTGGGACAGAATCCGGCGCCCCAACCAGGACTAGAACCCGGTGTGCCGGCGCCGCTAGGCGGAGGATTACCTATTGAGCCACGGCGCCGGCCACTTCAGCACTTTTTAAAAGCATGGATGATAACAGCTTTTTTTTAAAAAAAATTTTTTTTTATTTATTTTATTTGAAAGGTAGAGTTACAGGGGGCAGAGGCAGAGAGAGGTCTTCCAGCTGCTGGTTCACTCCCCAGATGGCCACAACGGCTGGAGCTGTGCTGATCCGAAGCCAGGAGCTTCTTCCAGATCTCTCACATGGGTGCAGGGGCCTAAAGACTTGGGCCACCTTCTGCTGCTTTCCCAGGCCATAGCAGAGAGCTGGATTGGAAGTGGAGCAGCCAGGACCAGTTTTGCTCTGCTCCTTGTGTCTGATTAGGGTCCTGAGTAAAAGAATCTGAGGATAAGATTGGACTTCACAGGAAAAATGTGCTGTGATTGCTAACTGGTGTTTGTCTACAACACTTGAAGATCGTTTATTAGCCAGCATTTGGGTCTTTCTATTTTTCCTACCTGAAGAATTTGACATCAGCCCTCGGATTTTGCTTTTGAAAGGATTCCTTCCCTTTAAAGATCTCAGGTCATTGTATTGTCTCTAGCTATTCTCTGAGCTTTTTGAAATTTATTCTGTTCTTAATAGACTCTTAAAATTGTGTGATCGTGTTTGCTCAAGGTCCATTCTTTAAAAAAAATAAGGAAAAAGAAAAACCACAATTCATTCTACCTTCTGAGTTGGAAAATAGGCATAATAGCGTTATCCTTCAACTTTCTGAGAGATGCAATTGTCACCCAAGCAGACATACCTATTAAATGGTCTGTGTTCCCAGAGTAAGATGTTCAGACGTTTGGTTAGTTAAACTTACTCATCAGGCAGGCCTGAATCTTCCTCTCCTCCAGTATGGCGATCTGCGTTGGAGAGCCTCCGTCTCTTTGGGTGGCCCCATTGTCGTATTTTCCTCTTTCCCTCTGTGGTCCTCGCCCAGGTCCTCCAGCCCATATCCATATGGGCAGATGCTTTTATTATGGATGGAGGTGGATGTCAGGATTGCAGGTGACAGAAGATGCAGAGTGACCTTAGAAACTGGGGGAGGCGAGCGTTATTGGTTGATGTCACTGAAAAATTCGAGGTAGATCTGGCTTCAGAAACAACTGGGTTCAGGGCTCAGCCACTGTCATTGTAGGTCATTCAGGCTCTGCCCACCTCTGAATTGGATTTGGTACTTAGCTCTATATGGAAGTCCCTGGTACCTCTAGGATCTGTTGGCCAAATGGCTGCAGTGGTGGAGGGCAGGGAGGGGGAGAGAGAGGATGATTAACAAGTACATGGGTATAGTTGGAAGAACTACGTCTAATGTTCTATAGCACAGTGGAGTAACTATTGTTGACAGCAATTAATTAGTATTTCAAGATAGCTAGAGAGAGGATTTTAAATGTTCCCTTACACAAAGAAATGATAAATGTTTGAGGTGATGGATATTGCCTTGATCCCTTCATTTGACATTGTGCTTGTGTACCCATACTGAATATCACACTGTGGCCCCAAGATATCTACAAATATTAGGTGTCTGAAGATGTATCTATTTGTTTGAAAGCAGAGTTACAGAGAGAGGGAGAGTGGGGGCGGGGATATCTTCCCTCCATTGGTTTACTCCCCAGATGGTTACAATGGCCATGGATGAGCAGACTGAAGCCAGGAGTCCAGAACTCCATTTGGGTCTCCCATGTGGATGGCAAGGATCCAAGTACTTGAGCCATCCTTTTGCTGGCTTTCCAGGTACATTAGCAGGGAGCTGGATTGAAAGTGGAGCAGCAAGGCCTCGAATCAGAGCTCGTATAGCATGCCAGCATTGGAGGCGGTGGCCCGGCCTGCTGTGCCACACACTGCCAGCCCATTGAATTTTTTTTGTTTAAAGAAGCATCTCATGGGCTGCACTTGAAACCTATAGGATCAGGATTTCCTAGGGCAGGAGACAAGCCATTCAATTTGGTAAAATTTTTATTAATATAAAGAGAACAGATTTCATAGAAAAAAATTTTTTAACATACCGGAGAAAACAATGGCTGCGGTGGCCACAGATTTATGTCATCCTGGTGAAGTCCAGAAGGAAAGAGCTGGCGTCCGAGAGTCATTCTGATTAGTTAGGTTTAGAGCATGGGTGGTTCTACCCCAGCCCTACTGTGGCCAGGAAGTCCATCAGGCTGACTGGCAAAGGCCCTCTGCTAGGCACGGGGACTAAAGATTCCCAAGGAAATGTCAGGGCTGAGGGCAGAGGGTGGAGAAATGGCTTTTTGGGATGGGAATAGAGTAGGCATGAACAATCAGAGTCCAGGCTTGCTGCTTTACCTCTCACTCCAACTATATTTATTTCTTTGATTCTAGCTACTTCCTCCCAGAGCTTGTTCTCTGAAGTCAGACAGGCCTGGTTCAAGGCTGAGCTCTGCTGTTTTCTAGCTATGGCATTTATTTATTTGAAAGTCAGCGTTGGCTGGTGCAGCTGCTCACTAGGCTAATCCTCCGCCTGCAGCGCCGGCACCCTGGGTTCTAGTCCCGGTTGGGGTGCCGGGTTCTGTCCCGGTTGCTCCTCTTCCAGTCCAGCTCTCTGCTGTGGCCCAAGTGCTTGGGCGCTGCACCCGCATGGGAGACCAGGAGGAAGCATCTGGCTCCTGGCTTCGGATCGGTACGGCGCGCTGGCCGTAGCGGCCATTTGAGGGGTGAGCCAATGGAAGGAAGATCTTTCTGTCTCTCTCACTGTCTAACTCTGTCTATGTGGGGAGCAGGGTCCATCTCCCGCAACATGGCGGGGCGCCCGGGAGAGAAATAAGTACTGAAACTGTGGACTGAAACTAACTCTATGCGTCTGATCTCCCATCATATGGCGCTGAGAGGGAGTAAACAAATCTTACACAGCTGCTTCGTCAATTAGTTGA